AAGTTGTCAGTGAGAAGCCTTTACTACGCCAATGCCACGAAAAAAGTTTTCAATTTGCCCAACAATGCCTTGACACGCCTCACAGCTTCTACCACACTGTAATTTGGAGTGACGAGACCAAAATAGAGCTTTATGATCACAACCATAAGCGCTATGTTTGGAGAGGGGTTAACAAGGCCTCTACTGACAAGAATACCATCCCCACTGTGAAGCATGGTGGTGACTCACTGATGTTTTGGGGGTGTGTGAGCTCTAAAGGCATGGGGAATTTTGTAAAAATGTGATGTTAAGATGAATGCAGCATGTTATCAGAAAATACTGGCAATAAGTTGCATTCTTCTGCATGAAAGCTGGACATGGGATACTTTTGGTCTTTCCAGCACAACCATTACCCTAAGCACAAGGCCAAGTTGACTCTCGAGTGGTTACAGCAAAAAAAGGCGAAGGTTCTGGAGGGGCCATTACAGGGGCGGACTGACCATTTGGAAACTCGGACACTGCCCAAGGGCCCGGGGTCAGTATGGGGCCTCATGAGATTCCCCTGGTACCTTTTTCATAGGCTTTTTTGAGTTTGGGCAAGGACACAGGGGCCTCATGATCCCCTATTGCCTGGGGGCCCCATGAGTTGTCAGTCCGCCCCTGGGCCATCATAGTCTCCTGACTTTAATGGCCAATAACATCGAGCCAATCTGGGGAGATTTCAAACATGCAAGACAACCAAAGACTTTGCATAACCCGCAGGCATTTTGTCAAGTCAAGTTGGCAGTTATACCACCTGCACGAATTTGGGGGCCTCATAGACAACTATTGCAAAAGACAGCATGCTGTAACTGATGTTAAGAGGGCATTACACAGTATTATGAACTAAGAGTATGAAGACTTTTCAGCATGGGTCATTTACTTTGTTTACTTGTTGCCATGTTTTGTTTTATGATTGTACCACTCTGTTATGACCTACAGTTGAATATGAATCCCATAAGAAATAAAAGAAATGTGTTTCCTTTTTCACTCATATTTTCTTTAAAAATGGTACATACTATATACATTCTCCAAGGGTATGCAAACTTTTGAGAAGAACTGTACACATCTATCAGCTACACCTTCTGTTTCCTTGAATCTCCTATATACTGATTTTTTTTCCTTTACTATTCTACTTACCTTTTTAGTGAACAATATTCTTTTTTTTCTTCCTTTTACTCTTACTAATTTGCCTGACATATAATCTAGTTGCCTCCAGCATAGTAGACAGAGTCGACTGATTACTGACTTCTGTCGTTTTACTCCAACCTTTCAATTGATTTTTTAGAAATTGCTCTATTTCAGGAAAATGTGTCTTTTGTCATTTGTCCTAATTTTTTTGTTTTTTTATATGATTTGTTTTAATATCAAACCAAAAGACATTAGTGATCACTAGAAACCAAATTTTCACCCACTTCAACATCTGACAATTGATTCCTATTTGTCAGTACTAGGTCTAGAAGAATATGATCACCTTGGGTTGGGCTTTTTACTAACTGTTTTAGAGAAACACCATTCATTGCTTCCATAACATCCTATTTGTAATAGCAGTGAGAATTTCAGGCACAATGAGAATATGCAAACTCCATGCAGGTAATGTATGGGTTTTGAACTGACAACCCTCATGCTGTTAGGCAGAAATGCTAACCACTTAAGCAATGACTTGCCCCTAAATATAGGCACCACGTTGGCGTTGTGCCAATCTAGTGATACTCACATAGTCATTAACCACTTGCTCTCCTGAGGATTTACCCCCCTTCCTGACCAGGCCATTTTTTGCGTTAGGGCGCTGCGTTATTTTAAATGACAATTCACAGTCATGCAATGCTGCACCCAAATTAAATTTATGTTCTTTTTTTCCCCCACGAATTGAGCTTTCTTTTGGTGGTATTTGATCACCTGTGCGTTTTTTATTTTGTGCGCTATTAAAAAAAAAAAAGATTGACAATTTTGAGAAAAAAAAAACTATATTTTTTACTTTTTGCTATTAAACATGTCCAGCAAAAAATAAAAAAAATCAAATCAATTCACACCAAAATGTATTCTGCTACATTTTTTTAAATTTTATTTTTACTAGTAATGGCAACGATCAGCGACTTATAGCAGGTTGCGTCGGACATTCTAACACTGGAGGGAACTGACAGTGTACTAATGGCACTGGGCAGGAAGGGGTTAACATGAGGGGCGATCAAAGGGTTAACTGTGCTGTGTGCTGGGAGTGTTTTACTAGGGGGCGATGTGTGTGCTTTACTGTAATCACACTGTCCAATCACAGCTGATCACATATAAAAAAAAACTTGGCAGTTATCAGCATTTCCTTTCCTCACTCGCTCTTGCTGTGTGAGGAAAGGTGACAGGACATTTATATTGATCATCAGTGCCCTGATATCAGTGCAGCACCATCAGTGCTCATCAATGCCCATCAGTATAGCTTATTAGTTTCCATCAGTGCAGGATATCAGTGCTGCCTATCAATGACCATCAGTGCAGCTTATTGGTGCCCATCAGTGGCCTATAAGTGCAGCCTCATCAGAGCACATCAGTGAAGAAGAAAAATCACTTATTTGCAAAATTTTATAACAGAAACTAAGAAAATGTTTTTTTTCCCATTTGGTCTTTTTTCATTTGTTTAACAAAAAATTAAAAATCTCCAATAGTGATTGAGTATAACTAAAAGAAAGTTCCATCTGTCTAAAAAAAAAAAAAAAAACACATAAAAATTTAATTTGGGTACAGTGTTGTCTGACCACGCAATAGTCATTCGAAATGCGACAGAGCTGAAAGCTGAAAATTGGCCTGGGCAGGAAGGTGGTGAAAGTACCCAGTTCTGAAGTGGTTAATTAGGAGCAATCCATTTTCTGTTCTGTAGTTGTGACAGACATGGCACACAGGACACAGAACGAGCTGGAGCTACAAGCTTTGATCTCACAGCCATCCATGCTCTCCATCTTCACCTGGTCTTCCATTCTGGGTTTCCAGGCTGTGGCCACTTGAATGGCCGAAGCCGCAGCTACGTCTGCGGCACACAGCTTTGAAGGAACGGCACGGGTATGCTGTTCCTTCACAGCACATGCACCGATGATGTCATCATCTCTGCCGCTTACTAGAATATCTCCTATGGTGCATATTTAGGAGGTATTCATTTTACCTACAGGTAAGCTTTATTATAAGCTTACCTTTGGATAAAAAGTATAAAAAATGAGCTTAGTACAACTTTAATGGTACCCAAGGAGCAGGAGTTTCACCCACCAAGAACTTTTATACAAAAAATTCAAATTTTATTACAATGAATTAAAAAAAAATAACTAAAATGAACCCTGTTTAGGCTCTATTTCCCTGACGCACTATTTTCCCAGAGGGTATTACAGAACATCTGGTCTTCCAAATGGAGCAGATAAATGGGAATCATGTGAAATCCTCTACATGTTTCGCCACAGAGCCACTTCATCAAGAGGAGTGGGCCTGTAAATTCTCTACAATAGAATATAAACAAGGATTAACTGCAAAGATCTTCCAAAAAAATCCATACAATTTACAAACCATGTGTGGAAGTAACAATGTTGATGATAGATAGCACCGGCTTACCTAGAGTGTGGAGGGAGAAGCTGATTTTAGAATCCCAATTGGAGCAGCCAAAGAGTTTCCCCAGGGCAGACATAATACAAAGCACCTTAACAGTGGAGCGTGATGCTAAAAGGGGGAGCAATAAAAGTGGTATATTAAGGGTTAATGCACTCATAAATAGTGGCATAGCGTGGGTTGTCAGCACCAGGGCAAGGCAAGTAATTTGCACCCCCTTAGCCCATGGACCAGTCGCGTTTGGCGGGCACTACCACTCACCAAACGCAAACCCATTGAAATAAAAGTGTCCGCACTGCAACTTCCTCAAAATTGTTGTCAATGCACATGGTGGGGGTGATGCAGCTTTTAGGGGGTTATAACAGGTGCTGAGAAGGCTACATATCGCTTCCTCACTGCCTGTCAAATGCCTCTGTAAAGCAATCTGTGTGTGGATTGCTTTTTAGAGGAGTGGCATGTCAAGCATCAAAGTTTCAAGTATCGAAAGTATCAGAGGACTGTGTCTAGGTTGGGTCATCCATCCATAACTGCAGCTGTCTTCTCTGTGTCAGGCTACATGTGGACTGTAGCAGCCCCGGTCAGCCCACCATTAGTTTAAAAATTCTGGGTGGCTGCTGCAGATCACATGCCCTGGGCATTCCAGCAGCACAAATCTGCTGGAATCCAACAGCTGCAGCTACCCAGCTGCTTGATAGAGGCCTTCTAGTGGCTGGGAGTTTGTGTACATGCCGTGACTCCTGCTGACCTATGACATTCATTAGTGGCATCAAAGGTTAAAGCAGAGCTTGACCCTAAAAGGGAAGATCCGCTTTATGCCCTCCTCCCCCTCCTATTCTATATTTGATACTTTTTGGGAGGGGGGCAGGGGGTACCTGGTGTTGACAGATACCCACTTCCGGTCAGATTGCTGTGGCAAATTCACCAGAAGCCCCCCCCCCCCCACACACACCTTCAAGTCCCAAAAGGTTGTGGGATCATGCATTCATTACCGTATTTTTTGCTCCACAAGACGCACTTTTTTCCCCCCAATGGGAAATGTCTGTGCATCTTATGGAGCGTCCAGCCTGGTATTCCCCCCGTTGCCGGCACTGCGTTAGAATACTGGGCTGGCCGCTTGGCTCTACTGTGCAGAAGAAGCTACTCCTCCGTCCTACCTGTTCCTCGGTCCAGCGGTGTCCTCGGAACTGGCATCTTCAGAGTAGGCACCCGGCTGTGACAGCTTGCGGCTTCACAGCCAGGTGCCCACTGTACATATGCGAGAAGCACTGCGCTTTGTGAATGGCCCCATAGTCTTGTGGGACCTGTCACGTGTCCAACAAGACAAAAGGGGGGGGGGGAGAGGACAACTCCGCAGGAGTGGGAGCAGGTACCTGTCAAATTCGGGTACCCTCCCCTCCCCAAAGGTCTGCACTCTTTGTTCATCTCTTGTACTATGTCCGCAGTCTCTGGTCATCTCCTATACTGTGTCCACAGTCTCTGTTCATCTCCTGTAGTATGTCTGCAGTCTCTGGTCATCCCCTGTACTGTGTCCGCAGTCTCTGGTCATCCCCTGTACTGTGTCCGCAGTCTCTGGTCATCTCCTGTACTGTGTCCGCAGTCTCTGTCTCTCCTGTAGTATGTCCGCAGTCTCTGGTCTGTAGTATGTCCGCAGTCTCTGGTCATCCCCTGTACTGTGTCCGCAGTCTCTGGTCATCCCCTGTACTGTGTCCGCAGTCTCTGGTCATCCCCTGTACTGTGTCCGCAGTCTCTGGTCATCCCCTGTACTGTGTCCGCAGTCTCTGGTCATCCCCTGTACTGTGTCCGCAGTCTCTGGTCATCCCCTGTACTGTGTCCGCAGTCTCTGGTCATCTCCTGTACTGTGTCCGCAGTCTCTGGTCATCTCCTGTACTGTGTCCGCAGTCTCTGGTCATCTCCTGTACTGTGTCCGCAGTCTCTGGTCATCTCCTGTACTGCGTCGGCAGTCTCTGGTCATCTCCTGTACTGCGTCGGCAGTCTCTGGTCATCTCCTGTACTGCGTCGGCAGTCTCTGGTCATCATCTCTGTACTGCGTCGGCAGTCTCTGGTCATCTCCTGTACTGCGTCGGCAGTCTCTGGTCATCTCCTGTACTGCGTCGGCAGTCTCTGGTCATCTCCTGTACTGCGTCGGCAGTCTCTGGTCATCTCCTGTACTGTCATCTCTGGTCTCTCTGTAGTATGTCGGCAGTCTCTGGTCATCTTCAGTACTATGTCCGCAGTCTCTGGTCATCTCCAGTACTATGTCCGCAGTCTCTGCTCATCTCCTGTACTATGTCCGCAGTCTCTGTTCATCTCCTGTACTATGTCCGCAGTCTCTGGTCATCTCCTGTACTATGGTGTCCGTTTATGACACAGACAATAGCTGCGATTCCGAGGATCGCAGCTATTCTCTGGTCATTCACAGTTTATGACACTCAGAAGATCAGCGGAGAACATGTTCAGCCCTTCACTGGAGATCTGTGTTCTCCCTCCGATTCTCCAGCCCAGACTGCAAACTAAGCAGAGATAATTTACCTCTGCTTAGTAAACTGATCTTTTTTACTGTAATCTCATGAGATTATAGTAAAATCAGCCATTTTCCAGCGTTTGTAGACCGTTCTCCCTTCGTTCTGAGAACTGCTTCATAAAAGGCATTCACAGAAGAAATGTGTTCTCCGAGAATGCTGGAGAACTGAGCAGCGATCATTTACCTCTGGTTCATAAACGGACACCTAAGTCTGGAGTCCCTGGTCATCTCCTGTACTATGTTTGCAAACTCTGATCATCTCCTTTACTATGTCCACAATCTCTGGTCATCCCCTGTACTGTGTCCACAATATCTGGTCATCCCCTGTACTGTGTCGGCAGTCTCTGGCCATCTCCTGTACTGCGTCCGCAGTCTCTGGCCATCTCCAGTACTATGTCCGCAGTCTCTGGCCATCTCCTGTAGTATGTCCGCAGTCTCTGGCCATCTCCTGTACTATGTCCGCAGTCTCTGGCCATCTCCGCAGTCTCTGTATCTCCTGTACTGTGTCCGCAGTCTCTGGTCATCTCTCCTGTACTATGTCCGCAAACTCTGATCATCTCCTGTACTGTGTCCGCAATCTCTGGTCATCCTCCTGTACTATGTCCGCAGTCTCTGGTCATCTCCTGTACTGCGTCCGCAAACTCTGGTCATCTCCTGTACTGCGTCCGCAATCTCTGGTCATCTCCTGTACTGCGCGGTCTCTGGTCATCTCCTGTACTGCGTCCGCGGTCTCTGGTCATCTCCTGTACTGCGTCCGCGGTCTCTGGTCATCTCCTGTACTGCGCCGTCCGCGGTCTCTGGTCATCTCCTGTACTGCGTCATCGGTCTCTGGTCATCTCCTGTACTGCGTCCGCGGTCTCTGGTCATCTCCTGTACTGCGTCCGCGGTCTCTGGTCATCTCCTGTACTGCGTCCGCGGTCTCTGGTCATCTCCTGTACTGCGTCCGCGGTCTCTGGTCATCTCCTGTACTGCGTCCGCGGTCTCTGGTCATCTCCTGTACTGCGTCCGCGGTCTCTGGTCATCTCCTGTACTGCGTCCGCGGTCTCTGGTCATCTCCTGTACTGCGTCCGCGGTCTCTGGTCATCTCCTGTACTGCGTCCGCGCGGTCTCTGGTCATCTCCTGTACTGCGTCCGCGGTCTCTGGTCATCTCCTGTACTGCGTCCGCGGTCTCTGGTCATCTCCTGTACTGCGTCCGCGGTCTCTGGTCATCTCCTGTACTGTACGTCCGCGGTCTCTGGTCATCTCCTGTACTGCGTCCGCGGTCTCTGGTCATCTCCTGTCTCTGTACTCGTCCGCGGTCTCTGGTCATCTCCTGTACTGCGTCCGCGGTCTCTGGTCATCTCCTGTACTGCGTCCGCGGTCTCTGGTCATCTCCTGTACTGCGTCCGCGGTCTCTGGTCATCTCCTGTGCTGCGTCCGCGGTCTCTGGTCATCTCCTGTGCTGCGTCCGCGGTCTCTGGTCATCTCCTGTGCTGCGTCCGCGGTCTCTGGTCATCTCCTGTGCTGCGTCCGCGGTCTCTGGTCATCTCCTGTACTGCGTCCGCGGTCTCTGGTCATCTCCTGTACTGCCGTCCTCGGTCTCTGGTCATCTCCTGTACTCCTGTACTGCGTCCTCGGTCTCTGGTCATCTCCTGTACTGGTCTGGCCATCTCCTGTACTGCGTCCGCGGTCTCTGGCCATCTCCTGTACTGCGTTCGCGGTCTCTGGTCATCTCCTGTACTGCGTCCGCGCGTCTCTGGTCATCTCCTGTACTGCGTCCGCGGTCTCTGGTCATCTCCTGTACTGCGTCCGCGGTCTCTGGTCATCTCCTGTACTGCGTCCGGCGGTCTCTGGTCATCTCCTGTACTGCGTCCGTCCGCGGGTCTCTGGTCATCTCCTGTACTGCGTCCGCGCAGTCTCTCTGGTCATCTCCTGTACTGCGTCCGCGGTCTCTGGTCATCTCCTGTACTGCGTCCGCGTCTCTGGTCATCTCCTGTACTGCGTCCGCGGTCTCTGGTCATCTCCTGTACTGCGTCCGCGGTCTCTCTGGTCATCTCCTGTACTGCGTCCGCGGTCTCTGGTCATCTCCTGTACTGCGTCCGCGGTCTCTGGTCATCTCCTGTGCTGCGTCCGCAGGTCTCTGGTCATCTCCTGTGCTGCGTCCGCGGTCTCTGGTCATCTCCTGTCTGCGTCCTCGGTCTCTGGTCATCTCCTGTACTGCGTCCTCGGTCTCTGGTCATCTCCTGTACTGCGTCCGCGGTCTCTGGCATCTCCTGTACTGCGTCCGCGGTCTCTGGTCATCTCCTGTACTGCGTTCGCGGTCTCTGGCCATCTCCTGTACTGCGTCCGCAGTCTCTGGCCATCTCCTGTACTGCGTCCGCAGTCTCTGGCCATCTCCTGTACTGCGTCCGCTTCTCTGGCCATCTCCTGTACTGCGTCCGCAGTCTCTGGCCATCTCCTGTACTGCGTCCACAGTCTCTGGCCATCTCCTGTACTGCGTCCGCAGTCTCTGGCCATCTCCTGTACTGTGTCCGCAGTCTCTGGCCATCTCCTGTACTATGTCTGCAGTCCATTGGTTCAGAATTTTGTTCTTGTTTTCCTCTAAAATTTAGGTGCATCTTATGGTCAGGTGCGTCTTATGGAGTGAAAAATACAGTAATTTGATTCCTTCTGAATTGGGCAAATTGAAGGAGCTGGGAGGACAATTCTCAGCCAAACAGCGACTGCAGCCACTGATCAGGTATTCTGAAAGCCTCAAAAGCAGTGGTTGTCTGAATACAACAACAGCCTGCAGGTGGGATTCCTCAATGTCCTCATGAAAGTTTGAGCTCCTGTTTTACAGGCATTTGACTTTTTTTTTTCTTTGTCTGCCTCTGTGTTAGTGTACAGTCAGGTCCATAAATATTGGGACATCAACACAATTCTAACATTTTTGGCTCTATACACCACCACAATGGATTTGAAAATGAAACCAACAAGATGTGCTTTAACTGCAGACTGTACGCTTTAATTTGAGGGTATTTACATTCAAATCAGGTGAATGGTGTAGGAATTACAACAGTTTGCATATGTGCCTCCCACTTGTTAAGGGACCAAAAGTAATGGGACAATTGGCTTCTCAGCTGTTCCATTGCTAGGTGTGTGTGTATTCCCTCATTATCCCAATTACAATGAGCAGATAAAAGGTCCAGAGTTCATTTCAAGTGTGCTATTTGCATTTGGAATTCGTTGCTGTCAACTCTCAAGATGAGATCCAAAGAGCTGTCACTATCAGTGAAGCAAGCCATCATTAGGCTGAAAAACAAAACAAACCCATCAGAGAGATAGTAAAAACATTTAGGCGTGGCCAAAACAACTGTTTGGAACATTCTTAAAAAGAAGGAACGCACCGGTGAGCTCAGCAACACCAAAAGACCCGGAAGACCACGGAAAACAATTGTGGTGGATGACCGAAGAATTCTTTTCCTGGTGAAGAAAACACCCTTCACAACAGCTGGCCAGATCAAGAACACTCTCCAGGAGGTAGGTGTATGTGTGTCAAAGTCGGCAATCAAGAGAAGACTTCACCAGAGTGAATACAGAGGGTTCACCACAAGATGTAAACCATTGGTGAGCCACAAAAACAGGAAGGCCAGATTAGAGTTTGCCAAACGACATCTAAAAAAGCCTTCACAGTTCTGGAACAACATCCTATGGACAGATGAGACCAAGATCAACTTGTACCAGAGTGATGGGAAGAGAAGAGTATGGAGAAGGAAAGGAACTGCTTATGATCCTAAGCATACCACCTCATCAGTGAAGCATGGTGGTGGTAGTGGCATGGCGTGGGCATGTATGGCTGCCAATGGAACTGGTTCTCTTGTATTTATTGATGATGTGACTGCTAACAAAAGCAGCAGGATGAATTCTGAACTGTTTCGGGCAATATTATCTGCTCATATTCAGCCAAATGCTTCAGAACTCATTGGACGCCGCTTCACAGTGCAGATGGACAATGACCCAAAGCATACTGCAAAAGCAACCAAAGAGTTTTTTAAGGGAAAAGTGGAATGTTATGCAATGGCCAAGTCAATCACCTGACCTGAATCCGATTGAGCATGCATTTGACTTGCTGAAGACAAAACTGAAGGGAAAATGCCCCAAGAACAAGCAGGAACTGAAGACAGTTGCACTGGAGGCCTGGCAGAGCATCACCAGGGATGAAACCCAGCATCTGGTGATGTCTATGCGTTCCAGACTTCAGGCTGTAATTGACTGCAAAGGATTTGCAACCAAGTATTAAAAAAGTGAATGTTTGATTTATGATTATTATTCTGTCCCATTACTTTTGGTCCCTTAACAAGTGGGAGGCACATATGCAAACTGTTGTCATTCCTACACCGTTCACCTGATTTCGATGTAAATACCCGCAAATTAAAGCTGACAGTCTGCAGTTAAATCACATCTTCGTCGTTTCATTTCAAATTCATTGTGGTGGTGTATAGAGCCAAAAATGTCAGAATTGTGTCGATGTCCCAATATTTATGGACCTAACTGTATGTGTCCATGCACACATAGCCATTTAGAGGAG